TTTTGGTAGTAGCCTCGGCGGGTTGCAGCAAGCATGCACATTGCCTGTCAACAGGGTATGGCGGGCGGAAGTTCGTCCTGCGTCGACATGTCGGGAACGGCATCAGGCAGCGCTGCCGCTGCCCAGAATCTTATCGAGGTAGGCCCCGGGCGAGAGGATTAGCTAGCGATGCATAACAGGAGGTCATATTGGTCTTGTGAGCGTCATGTGGGACTCGGAGCTTCTACCGTCCGTATGATGAAATCTTGGGTCCTATGATATGCATGCCATCAAGTGCACACGTTGTCGTCGATTGGCAATTTTCGTGTCCAGGGTCCCTGGTGCATAGATTCATCTTTCATTTCATCTGGCAGGGGAGCTAGATCCCGTGCCCTAGCCAACTTTCATACATCATGAAGCGGGTGGAAGCCATTCCTCCGCATGCCCGGCCTCTGTCATCCGGTATACACAACAATTTTCCCAAAAAGGAAGCCCGCCTCTTTCAATGGGCTCCTCGCGCTCGCCCTCCTCTAGCAAGTAACACTTAGGACTTCTCGATGACGCTTTCGAAGAGAGCCTTGAGGCTCTTGGCGCTCTTCTTGGGGTAGCGCTTCTGGTCGTTCTCGTAGTCGACGTAGGTGACGCCGAAACGTGTGACGTAGCCCTCAGCCCATTCAAAGTTGTCAAGCAGAGACCAGGCCATGTAGCCCTGGACCTTGCAGCCATCCTCGGAGACGGCCTTTGCCATAGCCTTGACGTACGTGTCAAAGTATTCGGTACGCAGAGTGTCGTCGAGAATCTCGTCAATGGGCTTGTCGGACTCGCCGAGGACAGACGTGCCGCTCTCGGTGACGTAGATGGTGGGGTAGTTGTAGCGCTTGGACAGCCAGTTGATGAGGTCGCGGAAGCCCTGGGGGTTGGGGCGCAGCCAAGGCGACTCGGTCTCGGGGCCGATGCAGTCGCCAGCCTTGTTGTAGAAGAGGCACTCGAGGTTTCCGAGGTGGTCCTCAGCGGGGGGAGTGCCGTCAAGGTGGCGGACGTAGTTAGCGGTGTAGTGGTTCATGCCGTAGAAGTCGTTGGAACCCTTGACGAGAGCCTCCTCCTCAGGGGTGAACTCAGGCAGACGGTCGCCGAGCTGCTTGCGCATCGAGTCGGGGTACTTGCCGAAGTAGACGGGGTCGGCGAACCACGAGATGGCAAACTCGATCTTGCGGTTGGCGGCCTCGACATCCTTGGGGTCCTCGGGATCCCAGGGGTAGGTGGCGTCGCCGTTCAGGGTGATGCCGATCTGGCCCTGGTCAGTGGGCTTGAACTCCTCGCGGTAGACCTTGACGGCACGGCCGTGGGCGACGAGGAGGTTGTGGCCGACGATCCAGGGCTCGCGGGAGGTGTCACCCTCGGCGGAGCGCTCGCGATCGGAGGTGCGGCCGGGGGCGAAGGCGCCAATGCCGTAGCCGAGGATAGAGGAGCACCAGGGCTCGTTGAAGGTGATCCAGTTCTTGACCTTGGGGAGGGCCTTGAAGACGACGCGAGCGTAGTTCTCAAAGTCGAGAGGGAACTCCTCGCGGTTCAGAAGACCGCCGTAGCGCTTGTCAAGACCAGAGGGAACATCCCAGTGGAGCAGGGTGATGAAGGGGGTAATGTCGTTGGCGAGCAGGTCGTCGACGAACTTGACGTAGTGGTCAATGCCGGCCTGGTTGACGGGGTCGTTGCGGCCACCCTCGGGGATGATGCGGGCCCAGGAGAGAGAGAAACGGTAGACCTTGGCACCGAGCTGCTTCATCAGGGCAATGTCCTCAGCCGTGCGCTTGTACGAGTCGCAAGCGACGACACCAGACGAGCCGTCGGCAATCTTGCCGGGAATCTTGCAGAAGTCATCCCAAATGGTAGGGCCACGGCCGTCGGCCTCGATGGAGCCCTCAATCTGGTAGCTGCAGCCGTGACATGTGGTTAGCCAAGCAATTTCCCAGCAGGCCGGTTCTTGTTGTCGGTTGGGGGACGAGTGTCATTCATGAAGGGGCCCCGCCGCCAGGACTGGGTAAATGGCATTATGGGGCGGAGGATGGAGAAGGTAGGAGAGGGGTAGCGGCCTGGAGAGCAGAAGCGCGGGGGTCAGGGGTCGTGAGGGCGGAAGGAGCAAACGCCGCCCGATGGAGAGAGAGGGAGGGGCTAGATGGAGAGTGATCACATCCGTACAGCGGAAGTTCATCCGAAAGGAGCCAAGTCGCGAGGTTTTGCGAGGACAAAGAATGTGCGGTTGGGGTAAGCAGCAATGAGATTTGCTTTTTTTTTTCCTGTACTTACGCAGCCGTAGCGAAGCCCCAGAGGAAGTCGGCAGGAAGAGACATGACGTGGGTGCTGGGGTCTGTGTTTTACTGTTGAGTCGTGGGGTATCAAGAGAGATTCTGGCGTTCTCGACGTTCGAATTTTGACCGGCAAAACTGGAGGGGCGACGCGAAGCGGGACGTCTGTGGGATAGAACCGCGCAAGGGATTCTATCGTCAGGACGAGAGGAGAGATGGTGATAGGTATCGAAGCGGGTGGTAGAGCAAAAAGAGAGGAGAGGAGAGGAGGCCTGAGAAAAAGAAGAGACGACAATGCCCGCTTCTTATATCGCGATGGACGGGAGGCTAGGTGCATGACAGGCAAGCCTGTACCAGGATGCAATTCCCATCTCGGGGTCAATCAATGAATGGCATGGGCCACAGCAGTCTGGTCAGGCATGGCGAGGCGGCGTGCTCTGCGGATGAGGGGCCGAGGCGGCTGCCCCGGGGCCCACGAGCTGTGATTCGGACCGTCGTGACCGAGAAGAGGCTAAGGGGTTGCCGGCCAGGGGGGGGGAGGCGAGATACCCTAGGCCGACAGGGTCCATCGTGGTGTGGTCGGGTTGGGAGGAGATCGTGATGGTGTGGGAGACCATCGTCGAGTATACCAAGGGAAGCAAGCGAAGAGTGGCACATTGGGCGTAGAGAAGACGAAGGAGAGAAGGGGGGGGAGGCCAAACGAGGCCAGAAGTCACGTACCTGCAGACTGGTGTACCATTGGGGGAAGGGCAGGATCCCCCCTGGTGCACCCCTTCTTGCCCTTGGCTTTGCATGCCAGTGCCATGCAGGCAGTGACTGCACCGCAGGGCGTAATTACTTGTACGGGGCAAGCAGGCAGGTAGGTATCACAGAGGCTGTTTACCCCGCCGTGGGGTTCCTCTACAGCGCACAAGCAGAGTACGAACACCTGGGTTGGAGGTACCCAAGTTCTTGAGCAGTGGATGTCACCTGGGAGGGCAGTCGCTTTGGGGCGTAGGTACGCCCCTTCCCCACCTTTTTCTTTCCTTCCACCCGCAGGCTGGGGCCGCGCTTGCCCCGAATGAGGAGGGTGAGGGGATAGAGGGGACAGAAGGGTCATCCATGCATCTCACGCCCTGACGGCCAAAACCAAACGACGGCCCGTCTTTCCGAAAAAGCAGTGTTCTTCAGAGGACAGAAAGGGCAGAAAGGGCCTCTCGCTCATCACCCAACAGCAAGCAGTCTCTTACTCGTCGTTGGCCCCGTGATCTTTTGCCGACACTTCCAAGTTTCGCCCTACGCGAGAGATATGCCGACTCGACCCCTTCAAACGAAAGCAAGAAAACAGGAATGCCCCAAAAAGGTAGTTCCGCCCAGGAGGCTGTTTCGATATCCCGCGCGTAGAAGCCCCAGATGACCTCTTTCTTCTCCAGTCTGGGACCAACTACAGAACCGATCTCTCATTCATTCATGCCGCTCGTCCCACGCCGCCGCTTTGGGATGGATCTCCAACGTAGGAACCCCCCCCCCCGGGGGCTCCCAAGCTATTCCCATCCGAGCCTCCGCCCTCCAAGGATATCACTACACTTTGGCTTATTTCGCCGCTTGGTCACAAACCGCACCTCAACCTCTCTCTTCCCCTCCGGACTTTCTCCGTCTCGCGATGCCTGTTCTCGATGGATAATTACCCTGTCCACTTATTCATCTTGCTCCTCACTCTCGTGATCATATTGGCCGGATCCATCCGTCCATGCAAGCCGTGCTCAAGGTTGAACTGGATGCGCGCGTCTTCTCGAATCCAGCCGAACCGGGTGCTCCTGGCCAGCTGCTTGCCGCCGCCCGCCTCGCCTCACTGCATTTAATCAATGATCAACTGAAACAGGTCGATTGCAGGCCCCTCCGGCATCGCAAAACGACCGCCCATCTTGCCCTTCTTATCACATTAAACAACTCACCACCGTCGTAGCATTCGGGTCATCAATGGCAGGGAAAGAGAGAAAAGTGCGCATCGTCTCGAGCCCAGCTACGCGCGACGTCTTGTTCAGGCCCGCCTCAGCCGGCCCGGGACTGTCGAGCCAACGAGCCATCGGCCCTGCACACCCACGGAAACGGGAACCAAAATCATTAGCACTCGCCATCCCGTCACTCGGGCTGCGCCTTTATCTGCCTGTCCCATCGACAGCCCACATGAGAAATTCCCCGAAAGCCGCCTCTCAAAGTCCGTCGCACTCCCACCTTTCGCAACCCACCTCCAACGTCATCTGTCTGTAGTTTCCAAGGATTGTGCTGCCTGTGCATATTCGTCAATTGATGACAAGATCCATTGGAAAAAAAGGCAGAGAACAAGACGCGGGTGAGGAAGGAACATTTTTTTCACCCGGGAGCGCACAGCATCAAGGAATACACATAGTATAACTCGTCCTAGGTATCGTGGCGGAAACCTGGAAAACGAGATTGAGCATCTCGCGTCCGGCATTATGCGGATAGCTAGGACGCCGACCCAGAGACATATCCACTCCCTTGTGACCTCGGTGGCTCTCCCTCCTGCCCTCGCCCGCCTTGCTTCATCAATCATGCTCCCTTGTGGTACCGGCCATCCGTGAGCACGAGCACGCGTCGCTTTTCAAACCCGGTGAGCAACAATCCGGGCCGCCTCTCCCCCCTCACCGAACGTCGGGGTTCGGGACGAGAGACGACGCCTCAGCCATGTAGCCTCTCAGGGCCCGAACCCATGCGCCATCCTGGTCTCTTTTTGCAACGCATATAGTACAGGTCGGAGAAACGCCATTGACTGCTCTATGCACGACATGGTACGTGGCTCCCTCTTGCCAAGCAGACGCCTAGCATGGCACAACGCAGCAGTATGGGCGATCCCATCAGTGCGTGCCCTCTGCAGCCACATCCGAGTCACCGCGGTCGCGCAGCTTGCGCTTGCCAGTCTTGGAGCCAGCGTTGCTCCTGTTCCCGCTGCTCATGTTCCCGCTGCTCATGTCCACATCCTCGACCTCTGGTGCAACGTTGCCGTCTCGGTCATCATCGTCCTCGGTCCACTCGACAATCTCCCACTCGACAGTCGTCGTGCCGTTCCTTCTCTCCGTGATACTGTGGCCCTGCCGCACCGTCTTTCCTAGTCGGGAACCCTCGACGAGGCTGTTGAACCAAGGCACGCTCTGGGATTCCCTATTGCTAGCCGCGCGCCTCGCTATCTGTACCGTCCTAACGCCAGACTTGTTTTCGGACTCGACATCAGGCTCAGGCTCAGGTTCAGAATCAGGCTCGGGCTCGGCCTCGGGCGACCTGGTGTCTTCGAGCTCAGGGAGCAGCCCCATGTCCTCGAGGTCCCGCAGGTCCTCGCCGGCCAGGCTCGCAAGCGTCAGCTGGATAAAATCGGCCTCGCGCTGGGGCCGCTCCGTCCAGAAGGATAGTGGCGTGCCGCAGTACCCGCAGAAGTAGCGCTTCGTCTGCCGCTGCGCAGGGTCCTGGCTCTCGAAGACGCGGTGGATCATGGCGTGCGTCTCGTCGGGGAAGAAGGGCGTCGTTGAGCTGCGGTGCCACGCGAGGGGCACGCGCAGGAAGGCGGCCAAGGGCGTGGCCAGGGAACTGCCTAGTGTGTTGTGTTAGCATGGCCGCGAGGCGATCACTATTGTTTGTCCAGCATTCTCGCAAGGTGCTTGGTTGCACAAAGCAAAGCAAAGCAGCATGTGGACTTTGTGAATTGAAACTCCCGATTAAAGCTTACGATGCAGGGAGTCTGTGTTGAAAATGACCTGGGCCAGCTCAGTCTCGTTTTCCGGCACGTCGATGATGTAACGATTGCGGCCACAGTGACAGCCCCCACGCAGAGGGCGGAGCAAACTCATTGTGGCAGGGGGGGGCTGGAGGTCAGGTAGTTTGGAGAAGAAAGAAAGGCCTGCGGGCGTTTGAGTAAAGTACGTGAACTTGTCACGGAGGTGATGAGTTGATGAGTTGATAGAGGCTCCAGAAGAAATTGAACGCAATGAAATAGTGCGCAACTCCGGTCTTGGGATGATGAGATGGGGACTGGACTGTTGCCTTGAAGAGTTGATAGGCAGCTGGGGAGCACAGCATGATCGTGACAGCACCAGCTCCAGCACAGTGCAGCTGCTTGCGGCACTCGTGGTGGGGCAGCTTCCTTCCCTCACGAACCCCCCCACTCTCCGTCTTCGTTCACTGTTGTCCGTGGCGCCGTGGCTGCCGCTGGGCCAGTGGCGCCGCTCACCGTTCACCGTTCACCTCAGTGACCGAGCTGGACACCGAGACCTCACCTCCTTCGCTGTTAATGAATGAGATGCGGACAGAGAGAGCCCTCCTTGCCCTGATCCAGCCCGTCGAGCATTTTCATGTCCTCCTCCTCGAGCGCAAAGTCAAACACGTCGGCATTCTCTCTCATCCGCGCCTCAGACGTACTCTTGACCAACGGCACCCATCCCTTCTGCAGGCTGTACCGCACCAGCACCTGCGCCGCCGTCTTGCCGTGCTTCTCGCCGAGTCCGCGCAGGGTCGGGTCTGCCATTTTCGTCCCGCGCACGAGAGGGCTCCATGCCTGGATCACGATGCCGTGTCGTTCGCAGTAGGCGACGAGCGCGCGCTGCTGGCACCACGGGTGAAGCTGTGCTCGTTCTGGTCAGCACGGCGCTCTCTGTTCTCCCTATATATATACATATATATATATATATATGTGTGTGTGTGTGTGTGTGTGTGTATTGATATGTAGGAAGAGATATGTGGGAAAAAAAAAAGGGGGAAGAGCTCCCCCTCGATCTGTTTCACGCTCGGGGGGCCAGCGCCCCCGAATACAACCTCATCCTCCTCCAGCTGCTCGATCCCAAAAGTTTGCTCACCCCGACCGCCCCGCGCCGCCCCCCTCACCCCCGTACCGACTCCAGGCGCCCGCCAAAGCGCCCGCCGCTCGGGGCACGGCCGGGGCACGAAGAAACAGGCCGACGTAGGGGGGCCGTCCCCGCCGTTGTCGCCGGCCGCCGGCCCCCCCTGCCTGTCATGCGGCCCACGGTCTCGCGGACGGGAGCGCAGCGTGCGGGCGCGCGCTGCCGTCCTTGCGATGGATCTTGGTCGTCAGGAAGACGGCCGAGCGGGGGAGGCCAGAGGCCTGGAGGGCGTTGCCGACTTCCGTTTCGTTGGCGTAGAGCTGCGCCGAGTCGAGGTGGCGGTAGCCGACTGCGAGGGCGGAGAGGCAGGCCTGTGTGCAGGCCGAGCGCGGCGTCTGGTAGACGCCGAAGCCGAGGCGCGGGATGGCCGTGTCGGTGCCGGGAAGCAGAACCGTGTCGTGAAGGGAGAGGATGGCGGGTGGCTGCGAGGCCATGATGTCGGTGTCTGTGTTCTTCTGCCCTCAGGGTGTCAACAGTGAGTGTGAGAGGTGCAAGAGGCATTTGAGATGACAATTCGCTGGTTCAAGTGATTGATGAGTCACCTGCCTGCACTGTACGAGGCACGACAGAGCAGACCTTTTCATCTCATGTCAAAGTCAATTGAAATGGTATTCATTACCGATGCAGATCCAATGCTCGTCGCCATGGCACTGTTTGTCCCGGCAGACGTGAAAACTATACAGTGCCGGTGCGAGGCCTCGTGTGCCTCGCTGCCGCGTGTGCCTCGCTGCCACCCAGCCCCCCTTTGTCCGGAACGCCATGCCCATCTTCCCCGCGCCTGTTCTGGCGCGAGGTGAGACCCCGAAAAGAACGAGCCGCCAACGACAAGAAGACGACGATCAAGCCGTCTTCTTCTTCTTTTTGGGTCGCTCCTCGTCATCGTCGCCCCCGGCCTCGTCGTCATCGTCGTCGTCGTCGTCAGCATCGGCACCGCCCTCTTCGTTGTCGACGACGCTCTCGGCATCCTCCGAGTCTGACGTCTCCGGGTTCGAATCGTACTCTTCGGCGACGTCGCTCTCGCTGTCGGCCCTAAAGTCCTCGTCGACGCTCTCCTCGTCCTCGTCGGCGGACCCGCGGTCTGCCTTGTTGCCGACGACCTCGTCCTCCGAGTCGTCCATGGCCTCCTCCCGCAGCGCGGCCTTGAGCAGGTTGGCGTCCTCGTCAATCTCGTTCTTGACCCTCAGGTTCTTGAGCTTGAAGAACGTCTCCAGCCCCTTGAGGTCCTCGCGGCTAATGTTGCTGAACTGCGTCGAGCCGGCGCCGTTCTTCATGAGAACGGTTATGTCAAACGTGGACAGGGCGGAAACGGCGCCGCCCACACGCGAGAAGGTGATGGACGCCGTCTGCTCGTAGGCAATGTACGTCGCTGGCTTGGGGATGAACATGAAGGCCTTCTCGAGACAGTAGAGGAAGCCCTCGCTCGCCTTGATCGAACACTTGATGCCCAGCTGGTTGCGGTGCCTAGAGTGGGGGGGCGGGAGGGGTCAGCACAACAGTCGCCTCGAAATAAAAAATAAAAAAAACGGCATAGGGGTTGTCATACGTTTGGAAATCTTTCGCAGGCGTGGTCACCTTCTTATTGGCCAGGCCGCGGAAGATATAGGTGATGACCTGGTGGAGAGGCTGCTCGTAGTGAGACTGCAGCTTGTCGCCGTACTTCTCCTTGATCTGCTCCTCGGTGAGGTTGACGTCGAGCGTGACCTCCTCGTCCTTCTTAAACTGCATGACGACAAAGGGGTATCTCGTCTGGCCCTGCCTCAGGGGAGGATCTAGGCCCACGCAGAGCATGACGTGCGCGTCATCTGGCTTGGGGAGCACCATGAACTTCTTGATGGCCTCGTACTGGATTTTGTAGTCGTAGGTTTTTCCGCGGAGTCGAAACGACGTGTCATACATGTCGATGTCGAACCGTCCTCTGTTGGCATCGTGTCAGCATGTTCCTCGTAGGCGGGGCCACCTCGCGGTGCAGCATACCTCGGCGTCAGGTGCAGAATGTCGAGGAACTGCGCAATGGCGTCGCCGGCCGTCTCTCCAATCTCGGCCTTCTCCATCAGGGTATCGTAGAAGAGCGTCACGGCGTTCTTCTCCTCTTGGCCTCCGCCGGCATCACTTCCCGCATCGTCGTCGTCCGTCTCCTTCTTGGCGACGCCGGGAATGTAGAAGCGCATCTCGACGAGCTGGTCCTTGCCAGCACCCGCCTTCTTGCCCTTGCCACGCGCACCGTCGAGAGTCCCGTTGGTGCCTGTGTCGTTCTCGTCGGTGGGGGCGGCAAACTCGACGGCGACCTCGTTGCGGCCAGCGAGGTTGGTGTTGGAGATTTCCGAGTAGGGCACCTCAAAGGCCGGACGATTCTGCACGTTGAAGGACAGCTCAGCCTTGCCGAACTCCGCCTTGCCCCAGTTCCAGCCGCGCAGGGCGTGCTCCTTGTTCTCGAGGGTCGTGCTGTACCAGTTTTTGAAGAGCTTCGACAGGCGCTCGAACTCGTCCTGCGGGAAGCCGTCGAGCTGGATGATGCGGGTGTCGCGGCTGAGGATCTTGATCTCGTAGCCCTTGGCGGCGCGACTCCACTGGGCGGATGCGATGGCGCTGGCGTCGAGGGTGAAGGTGTCACCTCCGCCGGCGGGCTTCCATCCCAGGCCCGTCTCGGCGAATCTGCACTTGCCGCTTGACTTGGACAGATCCAGGAAGATGCTGTCGAAGCTCTCGCTGTACGGTGGTGAAGGGGTCCTGGTCAGCAGCCATTCGCACACCATCGTCTCAAGAGGGCGTAGCTAGGCAGGAGGAAGGCCAACGTACATTGCAGCCATGACTCGGTTGGCGCGTGGTTTCTCTTCTCTTTTTGGCGGAACGTGTACGTCTTGGAGAGTGGAAAAGATACAATAGGTCTCGCAGCCGTCAAAAATGAAAGCTTCGTGATGACACTCGGGCGAATTGAGGATGGACGAGCTTGTGTCGGGGTACTACAAGGTGGGCGGCCGAGGGTGGGAAATTTCACTGGCGAAGTCGCGGTCCGTCGCGCTGGGCGATGGGCTGGCTGTTGGAGCTGGCTGGGGGTAGGCAGAGAGAAGCAGGGGGGGTTGAGTACTTGGTCGAGACCAGTCTTTCAGCGGTGGGAGGTACTTTACGCGGTGTTGACGTGGCCGTTGTGGTCTGCCGTATTCGCACCTCTCACATGAGTTATGTTTATGTGCATATCGGGGTAATCGTAGAAACAGCCCGCACCGCCTTCGAGTCTCCACTCCACGTCTCTCTCTCTACCACTTCCCCCACACCATTTCACTTCTGCTCTGGGGGTGCTCCGATCGCCCCAGCTCCTGTATTCCGCACCCTGTTAGTTGGCCAGGCCACTGTTCAAACTCGAGTGCCTCGCCGTCTGGTACACGGCAAGGCTCCCTCGACATGCCGAAAGAAATGGCTGAAGGGTGTGTCCGCCATGTGAACATCAATCCTCTCTTCCAGCTCCAGCTCAGAGTACCGACATGAAGCTGCCTCGCAAATTCCAGGCCACTCTCCGAGGCCCTCTCAGATCGTCGAGGCTACTCCATTTCGTGGTTACAGGCGGTGGAGGTAGGTGAGATTGCGGGGGAATAACCCACAACTAGATTCCATCCCCCAACCGCTGAGCGGCCAACCGCCGGTTAGCCTAGCTTAAGCTGCTGCTCGAGCCGGGGTTCGCTGTGGCCAGCTTCGGCTTCGGGTGACGGGAGACTGGGACACCTCCCCCAAACCAGTCCCATCCTGGGTCTTCAAGGAGAGAAAGCTTGTTCTCATTTCTACCAACTGTCGTCATTGTCGAATTGGCTGACTGCTACTTCACTTTCCAACCCCGTCAAACCAACCGCCCATCGCACAGCACAGCTGGCCTTGTCTCACCGTCACAGCACGTATCGCCAACGCCAGTCACTTCGGTTCACTGCTCCCATCATGTCCAGTCCTCCTTCACGGCTCAAGAACCTGCTTGGTCATTTCCTGCCCTCGTCACAACCCACAGCGCTGCCGAATACAAGCACAACTACAACGTCCACCAGCTC